AAATAATTGAGATGACAAATATATTTTCAACTTACATGAATATATCTCTGACCTTTGCCTGACAACAATGTTTGACCTAAGTGACCCCATTGAATAATAATAAAAGTCAAGTTCCATGAACACTTTGTCTTGGACATCTACGTCGGGGTGGAGCCTCACATTGCACTTGTTGAATGCGATCATGATAGAATCCTTTATCTCAATTTCAGGATCTTAATAGAAATCAACAGGGTTAATAAAATCTCGTACTAAGTGTAGGGGTCTCTCCAACTGCAGATCCCACTTGCTATCAACAATTTTCAAGATGGGGCCATATCTTTTATCATATCCATTCAAGTTATGCTTGATTTCTTCTCTAGCTCCATTACTTTGAAAATATGCCCCATTGCCAATTCCTTTTCGCTATCAATAATGCGAAGCACTTTCACAAGTGGCCCAAAAATATGAAGGCAAAACTTAACCCCACCCCAATACTAATTCATAAAATAATGTCGTAGACCTTTTTTCCCTTGGTCACCTTAGACCACTTGCTCCCTTTCCATTCGTTAACTACAAACATGGTTCATAACTTGTCCTTCTGTTCATTCAAAGAATCTAGAGACAAGAATGAGCTGGCAAACTTGGTGGCCCCCACCTCACCAAGGCAGTCCCACCTGTAAATTCCCTCATCATCGCCAAAACATGGGTGTGGCTATAAATGAAAACAAATATGGCTTTGGTTTTTTCTAGTATCTCATGCACCAATTTCTTTTTACCGATCTTTTCAAGCATGAGATCTATATAGTGAGCCGCTCAAGGAATCCAAAAAATGTGCGACTTCGAGGTTTCCAACATTCTAGTAGCTGCAATATTGGCCTTAGCCATATCTGTGACAACCTGCACAACATAATCCGCCCCTACCTCCTCAATGCACTGATTCACAACACCAAATATGAAGGGCACATCATAACTCTTGTTGGATGCATCAATGGACTTCAAAAAGACAATTCCCATGGGGCAATTAACCATTAAGTTCATGATACTCCTAGACCTCCTATCGATCCACATATTTGTCATAATAGTTAACCAAAATCTACCACAAGTATCCTTGTATACCTTCAAATAGTCGTTTGTGAATTCCACCTCTTTCCTCAACAAAGGCCCCTTCAGTTCACAAGGTGTAGGAGGCCTATATTTTGGGCCAAACTGCTCCACTGCTTCAAACATAGCAATGAAACCCTTTGAAGTTGCAGTAGTAAATGGTAGACTCACTTGATAGTACCATCTAACCACATATTGGTTCACCCTTTTTCTCTCTTGCTTCTTTTGAGTATTATCTAAAGTAGTTTATATCGGTTCCCTTTCGCGAAGCACCACATCGGGACAAGGACACTGGAAGAATGTATAAAGAGGCCCTGTTTTTTGAGGTCTCGTACGCTCAATGATAATAGGTCTACTTATGGAGCCTCGCCCTTCTTCTTCTTCATCATATTAAGGTATATTTAGACTGGACCTCAAGTCTTCATGTCCCTTCTAGACTCCTCGAAGCTCTTTATGCATAACAGACAACCTGGAAGAACGCTACCTCGACGACCCCATATTCGTTGGTCTATGGGGCCGAAGCAGTGTTACCTTTGAAGTTTCAAATACCCTCATTAAGGGTAGCAATCCACTATGGGTTAACCAATGATGAGTGAGTCAAACTTCGACACAATGAGTTGAATGCCCTTAATGGAAAGCGGCTTGACGCCTAGCAAAAGCTAGAAGTCTACCAAGTAAGGATAAGTCGAGCTTTTGACAAGAAAGTGAGGTCACGGTCATTCAAGCTAGGCGATTTGGTTTTGGCTGTAAGATTCCTTATTGAGGCACCTCAATCTAAATTTCAACCCAAATGGGATGGACCGTATGGCGTTAAAAAGGCATACTTTGCTAGAGTATACCTCCTCTGCACTGAGACGGGAGAAGATGTCATGCCTTTAATCAACATAAGGTATTTGAAGATATATTTTCCTTAAGATATTAATGTAGTTCGTGATGTAAGACTTTAAACTACCCATCGCATAGTCCGAGCTGCAAGACGTTAAACTATCTAGCACACAACGAGTCTCCTTTGACCTACCAAGACCAAGCTTTGATGTTGTAGAACATCCGCCACAGTCCATATCTCACAACTATAAACTAAGTCGAGTTACGGTCCATCGTTATGACCCTAAACTACCAATTATATACTCTTGGTACGGGAGTCTACCTTTGGTCCATGACATATGACTTGAGAAGTATGACCCTAAAAGGCCCATCAATAAGTGACCCAAAACACCGTCAAATAGTTCTTCCTGTATGACTTTAAACTATAATAATTCCTTGGATTCCTAGGACTCTAAGTATTTGCCACCCTTGTCCTTTTTACAAAGGTTAGGAAGGATTTTCACATAGTCTTTCTTGTATGACTCTAAACTATAGTACTCTCTTGAAGTCTTAGGACTTTGAGTATTGAGCCACCTATACTCTTGAATAAAGGAATTAGGGAGGCTTTGCACAAAAGTCCTACCGGATGACTCTAAATTATGGTGTTCCTTTGAAAATTCTTAAAGCTACGAAGTATCAGGCTGCCCATACCCTCT